AACAAGCTTTGAAGAAACAAGACTGATACAAATAATATGAAAACAGGCCAGAAGGCCAGGATTCTTTTAAAAGATACCCCAAACTAAAAATTTTTAAGAATTCAAGCACCAACTTTAAAGGAATACAACAAAACCCAGAGCCCGATTGTGGGAACTTTCTGAGTCATGTAAATGCCAGGAAGCCAGGCAGAAAGCAGGGAGTTATGATCCATAAGCGGGGTCAGTAAACCAGAAATGATGGAGATGAAGGCCTCACAGGAAAGGGCATTAACATTATTTCAAAATGGCCTCTAGGTCCAGAGATATAGAAATGCATCAGGAATGTACTGTAGTGAGAAGTGGTAGATATACTTCAAGTTTCCATACACAGAAAATGTGGCCTCTGAGATTTTAAAAAATGACTCTCAGGGATTAATAACAGAAGAAACCACAGAAGATGAGATCAATGAACAGTAAGATCTCACAACAAAATTATACAAAATGAAGACCACAGAAAAAAATAATAATTTCAAAAATAAAATAAAGAATTAGTGACCCAGAGGGCAACATCAAGCAGTCTAAAATATTATAGGGCCGGGGATTTAGCTCAGTGGTGCGGTTCCCAGGTAAGGTCCTGAAGTTCAATTCCCAGTACTGAAAAAAAAATAAATAAATAAAAATAAAATATATATATATATATTATAAATGGGATCCAAGATTAAAATTTTTTTCAAAAAATTAACGCTGGGAATTGAAAGAAAAAAATTTTAAATGAATAAAAATTTTCCAAATACAATAAAAACTATAAGATTATAAATCCAAGCAAATAAAGACCAAGAAAATGATACAAAGTTACAGCATAATTAAAGTTTTTAAAATAAATGACAAGGACCAAATATGAGAAGCAGGTAGAAAAATATCTGCTTTTCAGTTTAAAAAAAAAAAGTATGAATGACAATACTTCTGAAACTACAAAAACCAGAAAAAATGGAGTAACAGTTTTCAACTAACAGAAGAAGGAGGAGTAAGAAGAGAAAGAGGAAGAGGAGAAGGACAAAAGGAAAACGTTATAAACTTGGACTTCTACAGCAAACAAAAGCACTTTTCAAAACAAGAAATAAGGACCTTTTCAGACACACAAAAGCTAAGAGAATTTATTGCCATCAAGTCTGTAGCCTGTACAACAAGAAAGGTCTTCGGAAAAGGCAAATTGTATTAAATAGAAATACAGATTTATACAAAAAAGGAAATGTCACCAGATAGGGTCCAAGGAGGTCGCTCAAAGAGGAGGAGATGGAGACTTCAACTCAGCCTGTCCATGGACTTGGCTGTAGCTTCACTGATGTTGGTCACTGAAAAGATTTCCAGATGCTCAGTGAGAGACAAAGAAAAGTTTTCTAGGCAGAAAGCAGTACACACTCAGAAAGGAGTGTAGGCACTCATAAAGTAAGGTGCAGTATAGTCCGGGGTTGGAAGTTTTTGTGTGATCTTGGGGGTGACGTCAAGATGGGTGATCTAGGATGGGTATCCCTACTGTCCATCAGGCTACCCATCTAGTGGACTAGGTTAGAATCCAAGTACATTTGCATGCCTTTGAAATTTACAAATACAGCTACCCACTTAAACTATTTCCTTGAAGATGGTAAGTCTGCAGAAGGAAAAGTACAGGCTCAATTTACAAGTCAAAAAGGGAAATAGAAGGCATAAAAACAGGAAGAAACAGCACTACACAATTTTTAAATATCACTGTCCATATAGAAAATCGCAACAATCTATCAAAAAATCTCCTAGAACAAGTTAGTAATCATATCCATAAACTATCAATATTCATGTGGAAATAAATAAAAAGCATACCACCATTTACAATTATTACAAAAGCTTACAACACTCATACTATATATATGTTACTATATATGATGTGTATATGTATATATGTACAGGGTTTATTGTTGAAAAATTACAAAATGCTGACAAAAGAAGTCAAGGGTCTAAAGAAACAAAAGATATTATGTGCACAGATTGGAAACCTAGATAAAGTAATGATATCAATTCTTCACAAATTGACTTACAGGTCTGAATATAATTCCTATCTAAATCTGAGTAAAATTTTTGAAGAAATGGACAAGGTTATTCTAAAATGTACATGCAAAGTTAAAGGACCTAGAATAGCTAAACAATATTTAAAAATAACACAGTGGGGGGAATCACTCTGCTCTGCTTGGTGTTAACTTACTACATAGCTACTATACGTAGAGAATATGGTAGTCACTTAGATCTACAGCACAAAATAGAGACCCCCAAAATAGATCTCCTCAAATACACCCAAATGACTTTTTGACAAAGATGAAAAAGCAACTCAATGGTACAAAGACAATCTTTCAATTTCCATATGACTAAGCAATCAGATTCTCGGGCATTTAACCTAAAGATGATAACTTAAATTCACACAGAAACTTTTACAGGAATGTACACAACACAATTTTAATAGCCCAAAACTTTCCAAGGTCAAAGGTTAAACAAACAGGTACATTCATACAAGGAACTATTACTCATCAATAAGAAAGAACAGCTGAATCGCTTCTCGGCCTTTTGGCTAAGATCAAGTGAAGAAAGAACAGCTGACACTTGCAACAACTTGGATGAATCTCAGAGGTACCATTCTTACTAAAGAAAGCCAATCCCAAAAGTTACATGCATTATGATTTCATTTACCTGACATCTACAAAACTGTAAGAGATGGAGAAAGGTTAGTGACTGTCAGGGAACACCAATGAGGTTGGAAGTTAGAGAACAGGACTTCCAAAGGGTGGCAGAAGAGACTCTGTGGTGGTAGAACGTTTAATGTCTTGAATGTGGTCATCGTTAAGTCAATACCCGGGATCCGATTTACTGAATCACACAGACACACACAGACACACACACACACACACACACACACACACACACACGCACACACTTTTATCTCCAGTCCAAACTCTTTCACAAACTCACAACTCAACTCCTCTACTTGATGTTTCAGTGGCATCTCAATCTAATACATCCAAAACCCACCTCTTCCTTTCCAACACTGCAACACCCTCAACTTGCTTTCCTCAATGTTTTCTCATTTTAATTAATGGCATCTATCAGAGTTATTTCAGTCAAGAACCTTCAGAGTTATCTTAGGTCTTCTTTAACATCGCATGTCATTGCTTCTATCAAAATACATCAAAAAATCTGGCAACTTTTCACATTCCCCTTGCTATCAACCTAATCCAAGTCATTTTCATCTCTTACATTTGTGAGGAGACTTTGTACAAAAGCCTAAAGTAAGCGACCCTCTTTGTCATTGTCCACTTCTACGGGTAAAGATTAGTTACACCAGTCTCTCAATAGATCATTACCTCTAAAAGCAAAATCATGGCGACACTGAGGGAAGAAACTGGCTGCTTTATGCTATATCTGCTTGAGGCTTTTATAATAACAGATAAGACAAGGGAGTAGAAGAAAATTCTTGAAGTATATTTATTAACCACTCAAGAACATTAAGATGCAGAATGTACATATGACTGCATGGTACATATGTACCTGAGGCGTGTACTATGTATCCTGGAACCCTAAAGACCACTTAGACTCCAATGACTCAAGAAAAAAAGAACCTTATCACCTGACATCACCAGTGCTACAGTTTCAATGTTCGTCCTCAGTGTTTGTCCCTGTTATAGTTTAGATCTGGGATGTCCCCAAAAGCCTCATGTGTCTGAAAGGTAAGTGGGTTATGAGGGCACTGTAGCTGACTTGCTGTTAGGAGGTGAGGCCTGCCTAGAGGTGAGTCACTGTAGATATGACCTGGAAGGGTATATCTTCCTCCCCAGCTCCTCCCTTCTCTCTCAGCTTCCTGACCCCCATGATGTAAGAAGCTTTTCCCCTCCCCTGGCCTGCCTACCATGTCATTTGCGCCTTGGAGCCAAAGACCATGGACTGAGAACACTGAGCCAAAATAAACCTATACTCCTTTCAGTTGCGGGTATCAGGTATTTTGGACCAGGAATGAGGAAAGAGACTAAGACAGTCCCCTTCAAAATTCATGTGGCTTTTAGTCGCCCTTGGAATAGTGTTAGGAGCTGGGACAAGGAGATTGGGCCATGAAGGCGCCACCCTTATTGGTGGAGCTGCTGCAGCTACAAAAGGGTCAATGTGGCCCACTTTTGTTTCTTGCCCCTTCTCCCTTCAATCACTAGGTGAGACAGCAAAAAGCCCCCTCCTAGATGACAGCACCTTAATAATGGACTTCCCAGCCACCAGAATTGTGAGTCAGTAAGCTGCTGTTTATTATACATTACCCGGTCTGTTGTATTCTGTCAAAGCTGCACAAAGTACACTACCATAGTTGGCACTTGAACATTTAAAAGACCTATAAGACATTGCTCCTACTACCAAATGAAGTAACTCTGAAACTTTACAAAGGTAAGATAATTTTATCTTGAGTAAGTTATTAAATGTATGATCATGAAGAGACTTTACAAATTAACAATTGATACTTATTTTAATAGTAAAATTACAATAACAGAGTTTTAATTTAAAAAAATCTGTAACTCAAAATTCCCTAACATTGGCCACGTCCCTTGTAAAGCATTAACACGAGGCTGTCATAAAACATCGCTAGTGTCAATGTCAGAAAGACAGGATACAGAACAGCCAGATCATTATCCTAGCCCAGTATGGCATTCCAGTCAGCACAAGTATGGTAAGGGCACTAATCTTGATTCAAAAAACTGGTGTTAGTTTTACCCTTAAACAGATGACCTTGAATAAGAAGAACATCAAGAGTTCTTATAGCTATAAAATCACATGAGTCTATGATTCATTTACCAAGTACGTACGACATCTGACACTATAATAGTTGTTGTGAGGGATATAAATAATTACAAATAGTGTAGGTACTCATATTTTACAATCAAAATGAACAAGGTCACCTAAATATCCCTACAACTCCTCTAGACACTATGAAAATTACCTGAAAAAGCAAATTAATTATGTACCTTTCAGTGCTGTGGTCTTTTCTTTTTCATCTGGACCTCCCTGCTGGATTTGTGCCATGTTTATCCAAATTGGCAACAAAATTAAAGAACTCAAGGAAATAGACATCAATCTTCAGAAGACAGTCTAGAATGAATGAAAGCAATAAATTAAGCTCTATTCAAATCCTACCTCCTTCCTGAGAACTTCCTAGATCCTCCCAGTGGAAGAGGATTATCATCTAGCTGATCTGCCACTTCACTTTGTTCATGCCTAACCACAGTACATACTGCTGTCTGCTCTGCATTACAATTACATATGTATTTATCTCATTCAGTTAACACCTTACAAGCTCCAGAAATAAAGGTAATAAAGTCCGTGTCATTACAACTCTCCTGTCTCAAGGCACAATACCTTAAACCTACAAATAGCTATATGTTGGTTGAAGTAAATTTAGCCAAACTTACTAGTTTTTATTACTTATCAGCTATTGCTTTTTAAATATCTTCAGGTAATCTCAAAAATTTGAAATTTCTTTTAAAGTAAATGCCATTAAAGCATTTTCCATTTACACAGTCTTTCTCCTGCAATAAGCAGACGGGAGAAAAAAACCCATAAAATTTCTACAAATTAACTATACTTAAAAATACAACTTTATGGGAAAGAACTACCCTTTTCAAAATGAGACTATGTTATATTCAATACTGGAAGCCATAATCTATGAGGTGTGATCAAAAAATACCGTGAATGTTTACATTTTAAAGTAATTATTACAGTAAAAGACACATTGCCATGAATTCCCCTCAAGATACTTCCTCTCACTTCACACACACAGTCACCTGATCATTCTTGCCACTGTCTGAACTAGTTCTGGAAGTCCTCTTTCGTGAGTGTCTTTTGTTGCTTTGTTGTGGCTGCCTTAATGTTCTAAATCAATTCAAAACATTTACCTTTTACGGTCATTCTGACTTTGGGTAACAGCAGAAGTCACATGGTACAAGATCCAGAGAATAAGATAAGTAGCAGCACTCAGCATATTTTTAATCATACCTGGTAAAGAAACTCACGAAAGAGAACTTGTAAAATTGCTTCAGAAAGCAGCAAAAACTATGGGATAAACGTGTTCAAAGCAAGGGGGGCTATTTTGAGGGAGATGAATGTTAATGTGTCTTTTACTATGGTAAGTTTCAAAAAATGTAAACACAATTATACTACTGTAAGCAATAATAATATAAAATTATGACTTATTAAAATCTAATTATGCTCTATTTTAGCCAGAAGGGAGGCATTAAAGGTTTAAGTAGATAGTTTTCCCAAGGTGTTTATGAATAACAATGCAAATAACTATTCCTAAAATTTAAAAGAAAAAACAAGATGCAACACATATAGTGGAAAATTTTATGTTAACCTTAATCAAATACTCCATAACTATTAACAAAATTATATAAAAACTACACTGATGGCAATAATAAGACTGAATATTCCCCTGATTGAGGATTCCAACTATCTTGCTACTCAATTTTATAATTATCTTTAAAAACAGAGGCATTTCCATAATCAGCAGAATGTAGCAGAAAATACTTAGAAGCTTATCTATTGTATGAATCAAAAAAATTTAAAAACCTAATCGTAAAAGTAAGTATTTCTGAAGTATGAATGTTTCAAATGGTTACAACCAATGTTGCCTAAATCTTAACTCTAACTGGAAGTAATTTGATAGAAGAGAAAAGACTGTCTGGCTCTAATACTAACTAACCGTTAGCCCATGAAAAATTAACTTCTCTGTGCTTCATCTTCCATATTTGTAAAATGGAAATGGAAATGAAGCAATCATACTTCTCCCATGCCACTTTCTGAAGCAGTTCTACAAGTTCACTTTCAAGAGGTTTTTCTGTAAACCAGGTACGGTAAACAAAAATGCGTGTGTGTGCGTGTGTGTGTGTGTGTGTGTGTGTGTGTGTGTGTTACTGCTGACCACCATCCAATGGAAAGCCAAGCTTGTAAAAACTACACTGTGTCTTCATCCATCTTACTCACTTCACTGAATCTGGTACCATGTGGCTTCTGGCTCTTCCCCAAAGTCAAAATGACCATGAAAGATAAATGGTTTGATGTTAAATATAAAACATTTAGTATAGTGTCTGATCTATAATTAAGTGCTCAACATATGTTAGCTTATTTTTTAAAAATTTTTTTAAATTGTTGTGACTCCTAGCTTCATCACTTAATAATAGCACTGAGGCCTTCGACAAGCCACTCAATATCTAAAATCTTCAATTCTCTCACTTATAAAATGGGGTCCATACCCCACATAATAGTAATTGAAATTGTGCTTAGCCATTGATTGCTGGAACTCTACCCAATCATGTGAGATCTTCAGAGAGTAAGTGTGGGACCATAGCTATGGTTTGGATCTGGAGGGCCTCCCCAAGGCTCAGGTGTTAAAGGCTTAGTCACCAGCCTGTGGTGCTGTAAGGGAGAAGGTCAGAACCTTTAGGAGCTGGGGCAGAGTGGAAGGAAGCTGAGTCGCTGGGGCTATGCCTTGGAAGGAGATACTGGACTTTGGTCCCTTCTCTCTTTGCATCCTGTCCACCCTGAAGTAAGCAGAACACCATAATGCTCTGCCCCACAAGAGGCCCCAAAGCCACAGAGTGAACCAACCGTGCACTGAAATCTCCCAAACTGTGAGCCAAAACAAATCTTTGCTCCTTGAAGTTATCTCAGATATTTTGTCACAGAAATAAAAAGCTGACAAACACAACTTCTGACTGAGAAAGCATTTTCACTTTGCATGAAAGTGGCGATATTTTTCTTCTGTGATCAAAACTATAAATTCAACATGAGTAAAAATGTGTTTAGGTTCCTTGAAGAAACAAATCTTTGTTATAGGGTACACATTGTACAAAGGTGAGAAAAACCGATGGTCACTACCAGGGTAGGGGCTCAGTTACTAAATGAAATCAATCTGCCAAGCAGCCACAAATAAAATACATCAGACCTACAGTGATTATTACAATGCTGCTATAGCAAGACAATGTTTATAAGGATTATCTACCTCCAGGAATTGGTCTGATCTGACAAGTCTCGCAAGTTTATGCACCAGTTTCACTAGAAACTCCCCAGCCTGTAGCAGAAATTAAAATGTTCATAATGACATTTCACACAATGAGCTTTGCTAACAATTCCACAACTAAATTAACATCTATAGTGGGCCCCTTATAATTTTTACTCTATCCCTCTGCTAACTCAGTATTTCTTCTAACTATAAACTATTAGGTCAGTTCTTATTGGTCCCAAATTATCTGATACCTAAACAGAATAATTTATACAGGCATTTCATTCTGGCTGCTTTAACAAAGGTAAAATTATAAATATATTTTTGCTGCTATAGTAATATTCAAGATTCACCTTTTGAAGAATCACTTTCATGACTCCCAAGGTTAAATGTCAATTAATAATCATTATTCTTATTTGCTGAGACAACATAAAATTCACAAAGCAGTTCCCCAGACTGGTGATATATGTTAGGAAATTACTAATTACTATATGTGACCCTAAGCCTTATAGTAGCAGATGCAGAGCAAGTAAACAGGAAGCAAAAGGAATTTGACTGTTGCTCTCTTACACACTGTGCTAGATTTTTACTCTCTTGAATTATTTTCCATGGCTGTGGCACAGCTGGCGAATCTAAATCAGGAACATTACAAATTCTCAATTTTGTTTTCCTAATAAAAATTCAGAGATATAACCTGCATGACCACAGATAAACACTACTGAAAATGCAGCCAGCGAGCCGTTTGGTACATTTGATATATATTAATATGTGCACTCGACATAGTTTACTTGGCATTATCTGATGGAGGTTAGGTTATGGGGAATAAAGTGGCGGAAGGTTTTTACTGATGTGAATTGGGACATAGTTGACATGTTGTACACTTCATGATAACCACTGCTGTTTAAATATGGGTTCCTAGAAATGGTTATGGTACAAACTAGACTCAAAACATCTCAGTTTGCGATTTCATTCTGTGAACTACACAAAGCAATTATCATATCTTTTTCCTTTCCACAATTCCAACAGAGAATCCACCATATATAAATAAAGCTATAAATAACTTGTCATGTGTAATCTTTATCCAGTCAGCATTTTAAAGCATGGAACAGAAAAATATTTATTTGCCCTGTTTGCTCAAAATATGGCATAAGCATTTATAAAATGTACAGAAAGATACACAGAAGCCTTATTTTTCCACGTTTGTTTGTTTTCATACAGGTATTAAATATAAACCAGATACAGGAGATTTTGCAACAGAAGCCCTTTCCACCTCACATTCTGACTGCACTGATGAAAGTACAGAATGTGGCACAGAACAAGTAAAACGGGGTTCATACTCCAAGGCCCTGGGGTCTGGCCTAGCGCTAGTCTGGCCACAAAGAATCTATGCTAGGTCAGACTCTGGAAATCAAGTTCAAACTAATCTACTTGCAACTGAATCTACAGTCAATGAAACTGGTATCACACATTTATGAGGAACCAAAAACATCCACACTAATTACAGTTAGCTATCCATGTTGCTTATCAGTAAAGCGTACTTCAAACTAATACTAAGCAGCATTTAATTTTAAGGCTTCTGGGTGTGTGTGTGTGTGTGTGTGTGTGTGTGTGTGTGTGTGCACAAATATGGGTTCCGGGAAAGAGGCTAGATAATGAAGGGGACACAATGGAGCAGACACAGAGCCAAAGTCCAGAATAATATGTGCCTGGTGCATAGAAAACAGTAGGTTCTGAATAGAATGAAAACATGTTTGGGTCATAGTTTAGTTCAGAGCAGAACACCAAGTTCTAATACAAGAATATTTAAAATACTTTCTTAGCTGCCCAAGCAACATGATATGGAATGAGATCTAGGTTCTTAATCTCAGTTCCACCACCTAGAAGCTAAGTGACTTCATCGAAGTCACAACTTTGTAATGGGGATAGTCACAATAAGAGTTAGCTTTCCAAAGCTATTACCAAGATTAAATGAAAGAATATATATTATATAAAAATATATACATATATATAAAATCATTTTGCAAACTACAGGTCCCTTACAAATGCTAGTGACCCATATAAAATCAGGTATAACAGGGTTCCAAGTAATTTG